TCCCCTTGTCATTTAATATATGGAATTTAGCTCATTAATATCTATTGTCAGAATTGAAATTCTGTCTTATGGTTTTTGGTATTTTTAATGTGTCCTTGATGTTTTCTTAGCATTCTAACTTTCATTATGGAATAATCGCCCTTTTTTTTCAAGTGATTTGAAAGTTCTATCCCTGTTTTATTATTTTCATCTTCTTTCTTTTTTTTTCTTTTCTTTTTTTTTTTTTTTTTTTTGAGACAGGGTCTTGCTGTTACCCACGTTGGAGTTCAATGGTGTGATCACAGCTCACTGCAGCCTCCATTTCCCAAGCTGCAGTGATCCTTCCACCTCAGCCTCCCAAGCAGGTGGAACCACAGGCATGCACCACCATGCCTGGCTAATTTTTGTATGTTTTGTAGAGATAGGGTTTCATCATGTTACCCAAACTCCTTAGCTGAAATGATCCACTACCTCAGCCTCCCAAAGTGCTGGGATTACAGGCATGAGCCACTGTGCCCAGCCTATCCCTGTTTTTAATTCAACTTGTGGTTATCTTTAGGTTTTTAAAAAATACAGTTGAGGCCGGGCGCGGTGGCTCACGCCTGTAATCCCAGCACTTTGGGAGGCCGAGGCGGGTGAGTCACGAGGTTAAAAGATCGACACCATCCTAGCCAACATAGTGAAACCCTGTTTCTACTAAAAATACAAAAATTAGCCAGGCATGGTGGCACATGCCTGTAGTCTCAGCTACTTGGGAGGCTGAGGCAGGAGAATTGCTTGAACCTGGGAGGTGGAGGTTGTAGTGAGCTGAGACTGTGCCACTGCACTCCAGCCTGGCGACAGAGTGAGACTCCATCTCAAAAAAAAAAAAAAGGAAAAAAAAAAACAAAAAACAAAAACAGTTGAATCTACATTTCTCATTATCGGCAGCAGAAATGAAAGAATATCTATTCTTCTCTCCTTTGTGGATGGGATGTGAACTCTCCTGATATCACATGAACAGGGGTTTCGATGCTCTGAGTCACACAGACTGCAGTTTGGAAATGCTGGGGTCAGAGAGACTAGGTATAGACACTCCTGGTGTCACATTGACTATGATATGAGCACTTCTGGGGTCACATAGATAGGAATTTGGACACCTATGGGTCTCACAGACTGGAGTGTGAACTTATGGGTCCCAGGACCAGGATGCCAACAATCCTCAGGCCATAGAGACTAGAATGTGGACACTCCTGGCTGCATACATACTGGGACATGACTATTTCTGGTGTCACACAGAGCAGGGTACAGAAACTCCTGGGGTCATGCAGCATCAGGTATAGATCATAGGAATGTCCGCATCCCAGTCTGTGATGCCACTAGAACTCACATTTATTTCTGTGAACACTTTTGTCCACACTGCAGTCTCTTACCCCATTATACCCAGACTGCAGTCTGCATTTCCCTAATAGTGACTACTTTGAAGTCCTTATAAGTCCAGTAATTTCATCTCCTACATTTGGGTTCAGATCTGAAGGCCACTAATGCTTAAGTATTTGCCATAAGCCCAGGTTTAAAGTGTAACTGGAGGCATGGATATCAAGACACTTAACAATGGTCCAGTCAGGTGCGGTGACTCACGCCTGTAATCCCAGCACTTTGGGAGGCTGAGGTGGGCGGATCACCTGGGGTCAGGAGTTCAAGACCAGCCTGGCCAACATGGTAAAAACCAATCTCTACTAAAAATATAAAAGTTAGCTGGGCATGGTGGTGCATGCCTATAGTCCCAGCTACTCAGGAGGTGGAAGCAGGAGAATCATTTGAACCCAGAAAGCAGAGGTTGCAGTGAGCCAAGATCGCACCACTGCACTCCAGCCTGGGCAAGAGAGTGAGACTCTGTCTCAAAAGAAAAAAAAAAAAGCCATGCGTGGTGGCACACACCTGTAATCCCAGCTACTCAGAAGGCTGAATCCAGGAGAATTGCTTGAATCCAGGAGGTAGAGGTTGCAGTGAGCTGAGATCATGCCACTGCACTCCAGCCTGGGTGACAATAGCAAGACTCTGCCTCAATAAAAATAAAAATGGAAGGTATTGATGGCAAACTCACTATCCAAAGTCCTTGTTTAAGGGGGCACTAACAGTGGTAGTTTTATCAGAGGCCTGTGTGGAAAGCAACACTATCAGAGAGGAACGTAGTGGAAGAATGAACAGAGACCATAGTTTAAAGTCACATAGGGACATTGATGATAGAAGAGTTAATACACAGAGTCCAGTAATAGACCAGAAAATCATGATGATAGAATAAAGACACCCAGATTTGAGGTCAAATAAGAGGGGCAAGGATTTAGACCAGGCATGGTGGCTCAAACCTGTAATCCCAGCACTTTGGGAGGCCAAGGCGGGCGGATCACCTGAGGAGAGGAGTTTGAGACCAGCCTGAACAACATTGAGAAATTCTGTCTCTACTAAAAATGCAAAATTAGCCAGGCATGGTGCCTGTAGTCCCAGCTACTTGGGAGGCAGAGGCAGGGGAATCGCTTGAACGTAGGAGGCGAAGGTTGCAGTGAGCCGAGATTGCGCTGCTGCACTCCAGCCTGAGCAAGAAAAGCAAAACTCTGTCTCAAAAAAACAAAACAAAACAAAAGGCCAGGCGTGGTGGCTCATGCCTGTAATCCCAACACTTTGGGAGGCCAAGGTGGGCAGATCACGGGGTCAGGAGTTCGAGACCAGCGTGACCAACATGGCGAAACCCTGTCTCTACTAAAAATACAAAAATTAGCCAGGTGTGGTGGCACGTGCCTGTAATCCCAGCTACTCAGGAGGCTGAGGCAGGAGAATCACTTGAACCCAGGAGGCAGAGGTTGCAGCGAGCTGAGATTGTGCCACTGCACTCCAGCCTGGGTGACAAAGCAAGACTCCATCTCAAAAAAAGCTGCGGGGGGGGGGTAAGGATTTTTAATTAGTTCTGCTTTAATTGTGCTGTTGAATAGCTAGACAGAGAGATGGGATTTGATACTGGGATAGTTAGCAAATGCTTGACTTCAGACTAGAGGAATATTCCAGGCATAATAGTTAACAGAGACCCTGGTTTAGGGTTAGACCAGAGAAAAAGGGATGAGGACAATCAAATTATTATCTGGGTTTGAGGTCAGTTCAGAGGGGACTCGAGTCTAGAATAGTTAACAGAGCCTGGGGTTTGCGTTCACACTCTAGGGGCACTGGTGTTAGGAGAGATAATTGCGCAAGTTCAATGATAGATCACAGGACACTGGCGATGGAGCAGTTAGCAGAGGATCAGATTCAAGGTCAAACCAGATGGGAGTTGGTGGTATATTTAATAGAAGACTGGTCTGAGAAGGCTTGGAGCGGAAGGATTTGGGGATAAATGGCTGTGTTGGCTAACTAGACCAGTAGATCTCGAAATATGAAACAGGAAATGTAAGTCCTGGTTATGAGTCAGACAGACTAGAGAGCAAGGAGAGTTGAAGAGCTCTGATTAGGGAGCAGGACGACCCTGAATGTGGAATGACTAGAAAAGATAACCCAGATTTTGAGAACAAGCCAGGACATTGACGCTGTAGTGCTGAACAGTAGACCAGGTTTGAGATCAGACCAATTAATGGTTTAGGGGTTAAAATGGCCTACATTCAAAGTCAGATCAGAGGGAACAGAAGGTTGAATAGTTAAAAAGAGACCAGGTATGATCCATGCGGATGCTGGATGCAAAACGAATGGAGGTCCAGGTTTGATTAGAGACCAGAAGGACTTGTAAGCTAGAATATCAAATGAAGGTCAGCCGGGCATGTGGCTCACGCCTGTAATCCCAGCACTTTAGGAGACGGAGGCAGGAGGATCACTTGAGGTCAGTAGTTTGAGACCAGCCCGGCCAATGTGGTGAAACCCCGTCTCTACTAAAAGTACAAAAATTATCCAGGCATGGTGGCACACACTGTAATCCTGGCTACTTGGGAGAATCGCTTAAACCCAGGAGGTGGAGGTTGCAGTGAGCCCAGATCATGACACTGCACTCCAGCCTGGGCAAGAGAGAGAGAGAGACTCTGTCTCAAATAAACAAACAAATAAATAAATAATAAAGTGTCTGGGTTTGAGGTCATAGGTGCTGGTGAAAGAAACATTAAGAGATGCCCAGGTATGAGGTCAGACCAAAGAGTCAGTGAGGCCTGGGCTTAAGTTTGAACTCCATAGGCCAACTGTTTGGTACAACTGTTTTGGTTTTCTTTTCTTTTCTTTTCTTTTCTTCTTTTTTTTTTTTGAGACAGAGTTTTGCTCTGTTGCCCAGGCTGGAGTGCAATGGCGTGATCTCGGCTCACAGCAACCTCCACCTCCCGGGTTCAAGTGATTCTCCTGCCTCACCCTCCCGAGTAGCTGGGATTACAGGCATGCACCACCACACCTGGCTAATTTTGTATTTTTAGTAGAGATGGGGTTTCTCCATGTTGATCAGGCTGGTCTTGAACTCCTGACCTCTGGTGATCTGCCTGCCTCCACCTCCCAAAGTGCTGGGATTACAGACGTGAGCCACTGCACCCGGCCAATGGTACAACTGTTAATACAGAAGTGCAGATTGGAATTGACACCATAAGGACATTGATGGTGAAATAACTAACAGAGGCCTAGATGCAAGGTCAGGACTGAGGGTCCTTGAGGTTGGAATGGAGCAAAAGGACACTGATCAGAAAATATTGTAGTTAATAGAAGTTCAGTTCAAGGTCAGATCAGAAGCCAATTGCTAGTGAAATATTATACAGTAGCCTTGGTTCGAGATTTGACCAGTGGTACACTGGTGGGGTAGTAGTTAATAAAGGTCTAGCTTTGGTCTCAGACCAGAGAGGCTCTTGATGAAGAGGCTGACAAACACACAGGTTCAAAGTCAGACAAAGGGCAGGAAACAGTTAATGGAAGCCTCAATTTGAGGCAAGACCAGAGTAGTATTGACAGTGGAATGGTTGACAGAGCTCCAGATACGATGTCAAACCAGAGGCACAGTAATAATGCTGGACAAGTTAACCGAGGCCCAAATGTGACTGATAACATTATTTTTATTCTTTCTTCATTATTTATTCCCTCTTAGGTGGTGAGTCAAGAAAAGTACCACCAAGATGAGTTTAAAGCAGAATGTCAACTCTGCCACCTCAAAATTTCACAAGGAGGAAACTGCCAAAATCATGCACAACAATATTCACGATCAATCATCTTGAATTCAGACTCAAAAGAGAATGTGAAGAGTGTCAACAAAAGAAGAAAGTGTTAGCGAAAAAGGAGATTCCCTTAAATTATCTTGCCATCCACAGACTTCGGTAGAAACTGGGCATCTGTGTGGTGTTGCACACCGTGCAGAAAGACAGTAACACAGAAGGCCTCAACTGCGATCCTTGGAAAGGCCTGCTTCAAGGTTGGCCCTTGGCTGCTGGGGGTACATAGATTCCAGGAGGATTCCCACCACTCCCTAAGAGATAAGAATGGCTCACTCTGGTCGGGTGTGGTGGCTCACACCTGTAACCCCAGCACTTTGGGAGGCCAGTGTGGGAGGATCACCTGACCCAGGAGTTCAAGACAAGCCTGGGGAACATGGTGAAACCCATCTCTACAAAACTCAGCCAGGGGCGTGGTGTTGCACGTCTGTGGTCTCAGTTGCTTTGGGAGCTGAGGCAGGACCGCTTGAGCCTGGAAGGTTTGGGCTGCAGTGAACCGTGTCTGAGCCACTGCACTCCAGCCTGGGCAACAAAGTGAGACCCTGTCTCAAAAAAAAAAAAAAAAGAATGGCTCACTGTACCTAAGATGTTTGTTAAAAAAAAAAAAAGTGGTTTATGCTGAACCCCTGCTTTCCTTCTGGGAGTCTGGGGTTTGGGTAGGTGTCAGGCAGGGGACACCTAAGGGACCATCCCCTAATAAAAGCTTGGTACCAGCCAGGTGCAGTAGCTCATGCCTGTAATCCCAGCACTTTGGGAGGCTGAGGCGGGCAGATCACGCAGTCAGGAGTTCGAGACCAGTCTGGACAATATAGTGAAACCCCATCTCTACTAAAAATACAAAAATTAGCCAGGCATGGTGGCGCACACCTGTAGCCTCAGCTACTCAGGAGTCTGAGGCAGAAAAATCACTTGAATCCGGGAGGCAGAGGTTGCAGTGAGCCGAGATCACGCCACTGCACTCCAGCCTGGGTGACAGAGCAAGACTCCATCTCAAAAACAAACAAACAAAAAGCTCTGGGTGCTGAGTCTCTAATTGAGCTTCCTTGGTTGGCAACATTTCACACATATTGTCACAATCCATTACTGTGAACCGAGTACATCTTGCGTGACTCCAATGAGAGAGAAGCCTTGGAAACTTGTGCCTGGGTTTCCCCGGGAGTTGGCCTCACACACCATTTCTTTTTGCTGATTTTGCTCTGTGTCTTTTTATCTTTTTGTTGTAATAAATCAATCATAGCCATGAATACAACCACATACTGAGTCTTGGGAGTCCTCCTAGCAAATCACTGAGCCTGGGGCTGGTACTGGGGATCATGACACACATACATACATGACCTTGCCCACAGGAACAGTCCACCTCACTGAGGTCCCTATCTCACCACCGTGTACCCTGAGGTCTATTAGATGGAAGTCCTTGTTAGAAATGCTTGGGGTGCAAGTAACCACACTGTTAAATAACTGGACTGAACAAACGGGAGATTATTTCCCTCCAACAAGACTGCTGGTGTGAGTTCAGCAGCTCAACAACACTGGGCCAAGCTGGAGTCTCTACCATGCTGTGGACTGACCGTAAGGTCCTGAGAGTCACAGTTCCAACTGACGCATATGTAGCAGCAAATAGAGCTGGGGAGGGTGGGAGGGGCTGGAGCAAGAGCCTCTGCCACTTCTGGTAACTCTGACGTTTTCTGGTGACCCAGGCCACTGATACGCGATTTGGGTTATTTACCTCCATCAGTACTCAAAGCTTTTTCTCCTCTCTTGGGGCTCCCCTCAAATACTGATCAACACTTTTTGGTCTCTGAGGTGTTCCAGGGCTGGAATGTATACCCTGGATTGGGCTGGGAGGAGACAGGCATGGTCTGAGTGATGGAGAGTCCACCACACAGCAGGAGGCCCCAGCTCAGCCTTAGCTCCCTGTTGCTCCTACATCAGTTTGGGGCTCTGGGACTCAACACCTGTGCTCCCTGCTTTCAAGAAAACATGATGCATAGAGAGGGGTGGGGCCCAGGCAAGGGCTGCTATGTGGAGGAGTCTGGGAATGGAGCCATTCACCCCAGGAGGCAGCAGAGTCCTGCAGCCTGACCCCCTGGGGGGTCCAACCCAACATTCCCCACCCACTCCTCCACTGTGCTACCCTGCTGCAAGTCCCCATGACTGCCCTCGAGGGGTCTCTTGCTGGGTCCCCTGCTTCTACCCCCACCCCCAATCTGTTCCCTTCAGCAGCCAGAGGGAGCCTCTATGACCAACTCAGATTGCGCCCCTCCTCTGCTTGAGACCTTCTGGTGATGCATCACCCCCTACTCCGAAAAAAAGCCAAAGTCTTCACTGTGGCTCATGAAGCACAACAGCATCTGGCCTGTCCCACCCCATCTACTGTCACACTATGGTCCAGCAAGACTCTGGCATACACAATGATCCTTCTGGAATGCTCCAGCCTCAGGGTCTTTAGGCTGGCTTTCTCTCTGCCTAGAATGTTCTCCCACTACACTATGACTCCCACTCACTTCATTCGGGTCTTTATTTAAATGTCACCCTGAGCCAGGCGTGGTTGTTCATGCCTGTAATCCCAGCACTTTGGGAGGCCGAGGCGAGTGGATCACTTGAGCCCAGGAGTTCGAGACCAGCCTGGGCAATATGGCAAGACCCTGTCTCTACTAAAGATACAAAAATTAGGGTCTCGCCGGGCACGGTGGCTCACGCCTGTAATCCCAGTACTTTGGGAGGCCAAGGCGGGCAGATCATCTGAGGTCAGGAGCTTGAGACTACCCTGGCCAACATGGTGAAACCCCATCTTTAAAAAAAAAAATTAGCTGGGTGTGGTGTACACCTGTAGTCCCAGCTACTTGGGAGGCTGAAGTGGGAGGATCACTTAAGCCCTGGAGGTTGAGGCTGCAGTGAGCTATGGTCATGCCACTGCATTCCAACCTGGGTGACAGAGTGAGACTCCGTCTCAAAAACAAAACAAGGCACCCTGTCAGGAACGTCTTCCCCGATACTGTAAAGACCCACTCCCCCAACTCCAACTTCTGCAGCTCTGTCTCCCATCCTTGCCTTATTTTCTTTGCACCACTCATCATTAGCTGACCTGTTCCATATTTTTGTCTAATGTCTCCTCTACAACGCAAGCCCAACAAGGGCAGGCATTTCCATCAGATTAGGTCACAGCCGTATCCCCAGTGCCTAGAACAGTTCCTGGCACACAGTCAGGGCTCACTAATGTCTATCGAATGCATGAGTGTGTAAAACAGTTAAAGCGGTGCCTGTGACCCAGCAGACATTCAATCAATGCTTGTGGAATGAATGAATCATCGATGCATGAATGCACAAATGAGTCAATGAACCCCGTTCCACCATGTTCCTGGAGATGCCTGCTCCCCTGCCAGTCCCCGGCAGAGCTGGGAGCTGGCCCTCTGCACAACCACTGAAGCTTTATTTACAACACGAGGCTGGAGTAAAGGGATGGGATGGTGGACAGCAGCAGGGCCGGCAGGACCCTACTTCTGCTCCCGCCTCCAGACGATGACCATGCCGCTGGCGTCACTGGAGGCCAGTAGGCTCTCGTCGCAGTTGAAGCTGACATCAAGCACGGGCGCACTGTGGCCCTGCAGCTTGTTGACAGCAGCCTTGGCTGCCCGTTCCACATCAAAGAAGTGCACGCACATGTCCTCACTGCCTGTCACTGTCGGGGTGAGAGGGAGAGGCCATCGGGAGGCGCCTGGGGTGCCCCTGGTGGGAAGTCCCTGAGGTGTTGAAGGGTGTATGTTGGAGATGTGAGGTCCCAGCATGGCTTGGGGAAGTTTGAGGGGGCCCCACCCCTAGCTGGGAGGTCACCTGGCTGTTTCGGTACTGTGTGCAAAGTACAAGGTCTCTGGGCTTTTTCGGGGTAGGTGTGTTCAAAGTGTGAGTTTTCATTGCTTCTCGGCCTTTTGGCTGAGCTCAAGTGCAAACTGCGAGTTCTCTGAGCTGTTTGGAGCTGTCAGTCCCAGACTGAGGCTGTTGGGGTGTGAGGGGTCAAGAGGCCCAGGAAGTCAGGGTGTCAGGGTGTCGTGATATCTGAGCCAAGTCGGCACCAGCCCTGGTCCCTGCCCCTCCCCAGCCACCCAGATCCCCTGTCCCTACAGGACTCACCCACGCAGGCCCCCTGGCGGAAGGACATGAGGGGACAGAAGATGCTGCGCACCGGGTGTGAGCTCTGCTCGATGGGGAAGCTTCTCTTCAGCTGCAGGGTCCCCTCGTTGTCTACCACTCTGAGAGGAGGATGAGAGAGAAGGTGAAAACACAGCCCCAGCCCCAGCAGGGGAACAAGCTGTGGGCCTGTGTCCCCACCCCGTGCCTAAGTTCTTTTCAAGGTTCATGAAACCCAATTTTTTTTTGTTTTTGAGACAGGATCTTACTCTGTCACCCAGGCTGGAGTGTAGTGGTGCGATCATGGCTCGCTGCAGCCTCAACCTCCCAGGCTCAAGTGATCCTCTCGTCTCAGCCTCCTGCGTAGCTGGGACTACCTATAGGTATGTACAATACCCAGCTTATGAAACCCAATTCTGAGGTGATTGCATAAACTGTGAATAGGGGCTGATGTGTGAGTTACCGATGGCTCAGAAACTGTCTCTGTTGATATAAATGGGAGCCTCTCCAGTTTCATTCACTAGTTTTTCTTTCTAAGATCCTGGTGTTAAGACAGGCACAAAGAGACTAAATGAACACACCATGGTACACCCACACTGTGGAAAACTGCACAGCCCTTAGAGAGAATAAACCACAGTTCACGAAGGTAACCTGGGGGGTTTCTACGAGGCATCACCTGGTGAGAAACTTGAGATGTATGAAAGACCATTTCTTTTTTCTTTTTTTTTTTTTTTGAGACAGAGTCTCACTGTTGCCCAGGCTGGAGTGCAGTGATGCGATCTTGGCTCACTGCAACCTCCACATCCCAGGTTCAAGTGATTTTCTGCCTCAGCCTCCTGAGTAGCTGGGACTATAGACGTGTGTCACCATGCCTGGCTAATTTTTATATTTTTAGTAGAGATGGAGTTTCACCATATTGGCCAGGCTGATCTTGAACTCCTACCTCGTGATCCACCTGCCTCGGCCTTCCAAAGTGGTAGGATTACAGGTATGAGCCACCACGCCCAGCCCTTTTTTTTTTTTTTTAAGAGATGGAGTCTGGTTCTGTCACTCAGGCTGGAATGCAATGGCATGATCTCAGCTCACTGCAACCACTGCCTCCCAAGTTCAAGTGATTCTGCAGCCTCAGCCTCCAGAGTAGCTGGGATCACAGGCGCCTGTCACCACATACAGCTAATTTTCGTATTTTTAGTAGACATGGGGTTTTGCCACATTGACCAGGCTGGTCTTGACCTCCTGATCTCAAGTGATTCGCCCACCTCAGCTTCCCAAAGTGCTGGGATCACAGGTGTGAGCCACTGCACCTGGCCCAAGAATGTCTTTCAATAGGTGAATAATGAAACTGGTACCTCCATAAAAGGAACATTAAGTGATAAGAAAACCCATTTCTTTAAAATGTCTTTCCTTCAAAACTATGGTAGGAGTCAGGCAAGGTGGCTCATGCCTGTAATCCCAGCACTTTGGGAGGCTGAGGTGGGAGGATTGCTTGAGGCCAGGATTTCAAGACCAGACTGGGTAACATGGCAAATCCTCATTTTTGCAAAAAAAAATAAATAAATAAATTTAAAAAGTTAGCTTAGCATGGTAGCACATGCCTGTAATCTCAGATACTTAGTCTGAGGTGGGGAAATCAAATGAGCCCAGATGTTGGAGGCTGCAGCGAGCCATGATCATGCCACTGCACTCCAGTCTGAGTGACAGCAAAACCCTATCTCACAAACAAACAAAAACACACGTGGGTATGTGTACACGCCTAGGATTCGTGGAGAGAGAAGGGTATGTGTAAAGATGTGGATCGTTAATGAGCTTTACTGTGGCAGGAGAAGGCCAGAGGTGGTAGCAGGAAGAAGGGAGGGGCTGTGGGAAATGGGCACAAACCTAAGGGTACACTTAAATTAAAATGTTTTAAAGCATATATGTAGAAATTGTTTAAAAAGGAGGAGAGAGCTGGGTACAGTGGCTCACGCCTGTAATCCCAGCACTCTGGGAGGCCAAGGCGGGCGGATCACGAGGTCAAGAGAGCGAGACCAGCCTGGCCAACATGGTGAAACCTCATCTCTACTAAAAATACAAAAATTAGCCAGGCTTAGTGGCACATGCCTGTAATCCTAGCTACTGAGGAGGCTGAGGCAGGAGAATCGCTTGAACCCAGGAGGCGGAGGTTGCAGTGAGCCGAATCAGGCCACTGCACTCCAGCCTGGTGACAGAGTGAGACTCCACCTCAAAAAAAAAAAAAAAAAAAAAGGAGAGAAATAAAGTGGTAGAATAAAAGCATCCTGTTAAGCAGTGGTTTTCAGGCCTGGCCAGATATCGCTTAGGGAATTTCTCAATCTACCCATGCCCAGGCCCATCCCAAAACTTCTGAAACCACTGCCCTGCAGAGGGGCCCTGGCAGGATTTTTTGAAACTCTTCAGGTCATTCCAATCTGTGGCCCAGGCTGAGAACCGCATTTGGGTCACATGACAGATTGAGTGGGGATAGCAACCCCCATACCCCACCCAAAAAAAAAAAAAAAACAAAGAAAAAGGAAGGAAGAAAGGAAAACAGGCCTTGCTTTAAGCAGCCCTAGTCTATTTTTGTTTTATTGTACTTTAAGTTCTGGGGCACATGTGCAGATCTTGCAGGATTGTTGCATAGGTACACACATGCCATGGTGGTTTGCTGCCTCCATCCCCCCATCACCTACATCAGGCATTTCTCCCAATGTTATCCCATCCCAACCTACTCACTCCCAGCTGTCCCTCCCCTAACCCCTCATCCCCCAACAGATCCCAGTGTGTGACATTTCCCTCCCTGTGCCCATGTGTTCTCACTGTTCAATACCCGCCTATGAGTGAGAACATGCAGTGTTTGGTTTTCTGTTCTTGTGTCAGTTTGCTGAGAATGATGGTTTCCAGCTTCATCCATGTCCCTACAAAGGACATGAACTCATCCATTTTTATGGCTGCATAGTATTCCATGGTGTATATGTGCCACATGTTCCTTGTCCAGTCTATCACTGATGGGCATTTGGGTTGGTTCCAGGTCTTTGCTATTGTAAGCAGTGCTGCAATGAACACATGTGTGGGTGTGTCCTTATAGTAGAACGATTTATAATCCTTTGGATATATGCCCAATAATGGGATTGCTGGGTCAAATGGAATTTCTATTTCTAGGTCCTTGAGGAATTGCCACACTGTCTTCCACAATGGTTGAACTAATTTATACTCCCACCAACAGGTAAAAGTGTTCCTATTTCTCCACATCCTCTCCAGCATCTGTTGTCTCCAGATTTTTTAATGATCGCCATTCCAACTGGTGTGAGATGGTATCTCAATGTGGTTTTGATTTGCATTTCTCTAATGACCAGTGATGATGAGCATTTTTTCATATGTTTGTTGGCCTCATAAATGTCCTCTTTTGAAAAGTGTCTGTTCATATCTTTTGCCCTCGTCTATTTTATGCTTCAGTTTGCTCAACTGCTAAATGGAGATAATAACAGCACCTACCTCACAGGTTGGTGCAAGGACTGAATGCAGTGATACACAGAAACTGCTTCAAACAGGGCCTGGCTGCAGTGACTGCTGTAAACGTGCACATTCACTACTGCTATTAGTGTTACTGCTACTACTGCTCCCTCAATGAAACAAACCTGATGGAGGAGATGGGCTACTGTCCCAGTGTGCTGGAGGAGGCAGGCCCTCCATCTCCAGGAGGCCCTGTGGGGGACCCACCTGTAGAGCAGCAACTTGTTGAGGCAAGCATTGATGAGCAGTGAGGGGTCCCGGGCCTCGCGGCTGACCCAGGACCGGGCTGAGATGCTGGTCACAGGACTCCCCTCATGCACCACTAGACGCTTGGCTTTGGTCAGCTTCCCTGCAGCAGCAGAGGGAGGGAAAGCAGAGGGGAGGGTGACGGCGATGCCCTGGGAGGGCGAGCACCCAGATGCAGGACTGCTGTCTGCCTACCCGTGGCCATGTCGAAGAGGAAGGAGAAGATACTGCCACGGTCATCACCCGCCCAGAGCAGCCGGCCAGGGGCATCAAAGGACAGAGCAAGAACACGGCCCGTCAGCTTGCTGGAGCCCCCCTTCACTTTCTTGCCGGTGGAGATGTTCATGACATGCACGTTGTGCTTGGCGTTCCCCACCTGTGGGGAGAATGCACAGACCATCATTCTGCTCCCAGTCAGTCCCTCCTTGAGTCTGAACACAGTGAGGCTACCGTTGATGGGACTGGCTGACCCCCATTAAGAGTCTATTCACAGTGGGGCTGTGGCAGGTAGACAAGAAGGTGATCAGGCATGAATCCACCTCCCCAGCCAGTCACTCTTGCAATCTGCCCAGAGTAGGGCACTTGCCTATGGGACTAAAGGGCCTTCAGAGCCATCATGTTGCCCCTTGGCCAGTCCTCCTGCAGGGTGAGAACCACGGGGCCTGCCCAGACCTGTGATCCCAGCTTTCCCCTGCTCCCTGGCTATGCCCTTCTGGAACCTGTGGGGCTGCTGCTGACACGGGGAGGATCCTGGCCCACAAGCTCACTCTTGGTCAGTTCCTCTGCACTTCACCCCACCCCACCTTGGGCCATGCCAGACTTTTTAATGTTCTTCCCCTGCTCTCTGACCAATCTACCCTGGAGTCTGACCATGGTGGGGCTGCCATTGATAGACCAGATGAGGCTCAGCCTCATCGTCCTGCTCCTCAGAGGTAGCCCCTGCAGTTAGAAAGCTGTAGGGCTGCAGCTAATGTGACCAAAGGGGTCCCAGAGCCAGGACCCTGCCCTGGCCAGTGCTCCCTGAAGTTTACCACAGCAAGGCCATCTCAGACCAAGAATGGTCTTATGATCTGCTTCCCTTTTAAGTCTGACCACACTAGGACTGCTATGATGAGACTGGCAGGGGTCCTAGGCCCCCTGGGCTGCCCCTCCTTATACTCTCACTCCCTCAGATGGCCTTCCTGACCCAGTCCACCCGCCCTTGGTGAGTGGGTGCCCTGGAGCCTGACCACGGTGAGGTTGTTGTTGACAGGCTGGAAGGTACAGCAGAGCAGTTCAGCACCATCGGGGTCAGGGATCTCCCGGATGCAGCGGCCATCCTCAGAGGCCCAGATGCGCATGGTAGCATCAAGTGAGGTGGACACGAGGATGTCATTGGAGAGGGACCAGGCAAAGTCGGAGACACCACGGGTGTGGCCCCGTAGGACACGAAGCACTGTGGGCGGGGCGGGCACCAGCTGGCACAGGGAGATGCTGCCGTCGAGTGAGCAGCAGGCCAGGCGGTGCCGGTCATCATTGGCGAAGCGCACTCGTGGAACTGCAATGCCAAGAAGCCATTTGTGGGAGTCTGCACACACACTGGGCACATTTCTCTCTAAAAGGCTCTGATGTGTGTGCCAGGGCCTGGTCCCACTGCATGAGGCACAGTGGCCTCAGCAAAGGGCTTTCCTTGGCTGACAAAGGGAACTGTAACCCCAGAAGGCCCTCTGCCAAAGCTCCCTAAGTCTTAGCAGCTCCTTTGCAGATTGCAAAAGTCTTCTGCAATGTGAAAAAGCTCCTGTCTTAGCAAACAATTTACAATCAAGGTCTTGGCCATTTGCAAAACCCTTGACACTGTCGCCCACTCTGCCCTCTGCAAGGGGATTTCTCATCAGCAAAGTCTTTTTTTTGAAACAAAGTCTTGCTTCTCACTCTGTCACCCAGGCTGGAGTGCAGTGGTACAATCTTGGCTCACTGCAACCTCCACCTCCCAGGCTCAAGTGATTCTCCTGCCTCAGCCTCCTGAGTAACTGGGACTACAGGCCCTTGCCACAACGCCTGGCTAATTTTTTGTATTTTTAGTAGAGACAGGGTTTCACTGTGTTAGCCACAATGGTCTCGATCTCTTGACCTTGTGATCTGCCCGCCTCCGCCTCCCAAAGTGCTGGGATTACAGGCATGAGCCACCTCGCCCAGTCCATCTTTGAACTCTTCCGAGTAACTCACAAACCCAGGCTCCCTGCTGCAAAGGGCTCTCTTAGGCTTCTGAGGCTCTTTACAGTAGAGAAAGCACTGAGACTTTGCAGACCCCTGTGCAGGGGGCTTTTCAGTCTGCAGAAGGCTTTGTGGATGTGAATTCCTCCTTCAGAGGTGTGCCAGGGGCCTGGTATTCAGAAAAGGATGCCTTGGTTCGTTGTCACAGTTTGGGAAAACACTTGGTGATAGAACCCACCATCCACTGACTCACCTGCTTCATCCACGTGCTGGTCAAAAACATGGTACATGCCTGCAAAGGCATAGTTCTCGCTCAGTGATGTGTCTCCGGCCATGGCCCGGCTTGCTTCTGCCGCTGACGTGGGCACCACGCTGCCAGGGGGCCTGGGCCCCAACAGGAAGTGAGAGGTGACAAGAGGTAGATATGAGAGTGTTCAGTCTGCCATTGCCCCAGGGCCCCTCTCCTCCTTGCAACCACACCCCCCTCAGTTACCTCTGGCGCATACCTGTCCTCATAGACGGCACGGTTCATCTGTGCTTGCAGCTGGTAGGAGCCTCGGCTGACAGAACGGCGGTGCCCACGAGCCCCCAGGGCCCGAGGATCATCCTCAAAGTCCTGCAAATGGAGAGGGTCAGAGTGGGTCCATCCTGCAAAAAGTCCCTGAGATCCTTGGAGGTGTGGAGCCCTGAAAATCTACCTAGAGCCAGATCACTTTTCACTGTGTCCCCTGCCACCACCACTGCTGCCCACCTGCACTACTGCAGTGGCTTCTTCACGAGTTCTGCTGTTCCTGCCCTCCCCCTGCTCAACAGATACTCCAAACATGGCTTGCCCTATGTTTATTGACCTGTTTACCAAGTTTACTGTCTGTTCATTTGATTTACGTGGCATATTATCTTTTTGTACTCTGCTGATGCAGAACAGTGCCCAGCACAGAGCAGGTGCTTGATGAAAGTCTGCAGAGCGAATGTATGCAGGCAGGGTATGCCCAGGGGGCAAATGTGGCCAGGAGCTCACCTCCATGCGGTCAAGTGTAGTGCGGCTACTGCGGACGATGCTGTTGCTATAGGCACGAGCACTGCCTGGCTCAGAGAGGGGACCGTAGCGCTGGCCCAGCAGCTGCCCCCGAAGCCTCAGGTACTGCCGACGCAGTGCTGGGGGGTGCCCAGCCTTGGCATTCTCCCGCAGCAGCTGGCTGCGCCGGCGGATATACTGCGTCCGAAACTGTGGAAACGTTGGTGTGCGGTACGCGTTGTACCTGCAGGGTCAGGATGCAGGGCAGGCAGCAGGCACAGGACAGAGGGAATCAATCAGCTCGGGGGACAGGGCAGGAGAGTGAGGTGTGTGGCAGTGACTGGGGCTAAGGTGGTAACAATGACTAGCAGTGGTGATGGGGGACCTCCTGGTCCTGAGGTAGGAGTGAATATTAGGTAATAATCAACATGGTTATGAGGTCAGTTTGCAGACAATAGAGTCAGTCTGCTGCCTTGCTGAGGTCCCTATCAGGTGACTGGGTCAGCACAGACAATAATTGGGGTCTACCATGGCAAAAGAAATCACACCGATATTATGGGGGTCAGTGTTGGGTGGTGATGGGGTCAGAACAGGGAAGTGATGATGTTAAAAAAAAAAATCTAGGAAACACCCATAGGGGATAGGATGTCACCAGCCTGAGCCCCACCTCCCTCCCACAGGCAGCCTCTTTGCGCATGTCCACATCTGACCACATTTTCCCAGCATGCTGTTTAGAACCCTCTCCGGACCAGAAACTCACGGCGGGCGTGCCCGCCTCCGCTACTGCGCATGTTCACCTCCGGCAAGCCCACGAGCCGCATTAGGCAAATTCTCCGCCCAGCCTCACTTATCGCCATTGCGCATGCACCACAGTAAGTTCCGCTCCCATGGGCTTCGATCCTACGCCTCACCTCGCGTCCACTGCTAAGACTTGCTGCCACACCGCGGCCATTCCCTGGCCTCTTCCTCTGGCGCCTCCGCCCGCGGGAGCCTGCAGGACAAGGGCCTGGAATGTGAGCGTCCCAAGCGAAGGGATCTAGCTCTGTCCCTTCCGCCAGGCGACCATTGCCATAGCCATCGAGTCCCTCCGCGCTGGAGATGTCACGAACTCCCACCCGGCTGTTACCATGGTCATCACCCCAGCCCTGCCCTTCCTGGTCAACGCCCGGTGACACACAGCGATTCAGAACAGACACCGCCCCTCCCCGGTCGCCATAGCAACGCCCCTCCCCCGCCTAGCATTCCTTGCTTGACGTTTCCCACCCATCTTGTCCCCGCCGCCCTCCGCCTTCCCTTCTCAGGTCCAAGAGCATAGCCCGGGATCGGGGACCACCTCCGGGGCTGCCTCCGGTTCTTGAGGCCCCCCGGGGCGGCCCTGAGACCACTCTCACAGGTTCCTTCTGTCTCTCCTCCCTTTCTCAGGCTCCAGGCAAGATGGCCGCCTGCTATCAGCGAGAGCTGCTGAGCCCAGAGCGAATCGATAGGCATCCTTCCCAGGGCGTGGGAGTCTCGCAGGCGCATTGAGGGACAGTCGCTTCAGGCACAAGGGCGGAGGCTCCACCCCTCGACTTCTACCCGCTCGTTAATGGCACTTTTTGTTTATACAAGGATAATGTCCAAGGAACATAGTGTCAGGGGTGAGTTTACGAATCATTCCCTAGAAATCAGAAATACAACATTATAAAAAAGAGAAGGTGGCGGGGTGCGGGGGCTCACGCCTGTAATCCCAGCACTTTGGGAGGCCGGGGCGGGTGGATCACGAGGTCATGAGATCAAGACCATCCTGGCCAACATGGTGAAACCCTGTCTCTTAAAAAAAAAAAAAAAAAGAAAGAAACACAACTTTTAAAAAGTGGTATAGGGCCAGGCGCTGTAGCTCACGCTTGTAATCCCAGTACTTTGGGAGGTGGTGGCAGGTGGATCACAAGGTCAGGAGATGGAGACCATCCTGGCCAAAATGGTGAAACCCCGTTTCTAAAAGAAACATGACTTTTAAAAGTGGTATAGGGCCAGGTGCGGTGGCTCACACCTGTAATCCCAGCACTTTGGGAGGCCAAGGTGGGAGGATCACTTGAGCCCAGGAGGTAGAAACCAGCCTGGGGAACAAAATGAGACCCCATCTCTACCAAAAATTAGTCTGACATGGTGGTGCATGCCTGCAGTCCCAGCTACTTGGGAGGCTGAGGCAGAAGAACTGCTTCAGCCCAGGAGGTTAAGGCTACAATGAGCTGTGATCGTGCCACTACACTCCAGCCTGGGCAACAGAGCAAGACCCTGTCTCTAAAAAAATAAATAAAAGAGGCCAGCTGTGGTGGCTCACACCTGTAATCCCAGCACTTTGGGAGGCTGAGGAGGGTAGATCACCTGAGGTTAGGAGTTCGAGACCAGCCTGGTCAACATGGTAAAACCCCGTCTCCACTAAAAATACAAAAAATTAGTGGGGCGTGGTGGTGGGTGCCTAATCACAGCTACTCAGGAGGCTGAGGCAAGGAGAATCACTTGAACCCTGGAGGCAGAGGTTGCAGTAAGCCAAGATTGTGCCATTGTACTCCAGCCTGGGCAACAAGAGTGAAACTCCATCTCAAATTATTTTTAATAAATAATTTAAAAAGAGAGAGACATGGGGTGAGCTGGGCATGGTGGCTCACATCTGTAATTCCAACACTTTGGGAGGCTAAGGCAAGAATATCACTTGAATCTAGGAGTTTGAGACCAGCCTGGGAGACACAGTGAGACTACATCGCTACAAAAATTAATTAGCTGTGTGTGGTGGCATGTGCTTATAGTGCCAGCTGCTCGGGAGGCTAAGTTGGGAGGATCGCTTGAGCCTGGGAGGTTGAGGCTGCAGTGAGCCATGCCACTGTACTCCGGCTTGGATGTTAAGAGTGAGATCCTGTTTAAAAAATAGAGATTGGCAGGGGCGGGTCTTGATATGTTGCCCAGGCTGGTCTCGAACTCATGGCCTTGAGGCATCCTCCCACCTCAGCCTCCCAAGTAGCTGGGATTTACAGGCATGAACCGCTGCACCCAACTCTGAAACCCTATTTGTGACAGGCATTGGGTTTATTTCCGTGTTCTTTTTTCACCATAAAGAGTGTTGTGGGCTGAGCGCGGTGGCTCACGCCTATAATCCCAGCACTTTGGGAGGCCAAGGTGGGTGGATCACAAGGTCAAGAGATTGAGACCATCCTGGTCAACAAGGTGAAACCCCGTCTCTATTAAAAATACAAAAATTAGCTGGGCATGGTGGTGCGTGCCTGTAGTCCCAGCTAGTCGGGAGGCTGAGGCAGGAGAATTGCTTGAACCCAGAAGGCAGAGGTTGCGGTGAGTCAAGATCATGCCATTGCACTCCAGTCTGGGTAACAACAGCGAAACTCCGTCTCAAAAAAAAAAAAAAAAAAAAAAAAAAAAGAGTGTTGTGATAAATGCCTTTTCCATTCACTTCCATCTTCCCTCAACAGAGCCCTGCCCCTTCATCCTACCACTCTGCTTCCAAAGAAACATGATGGAATGAAATCACAGGAGAGTCTGGAAATCGAGTCAGGGATCCCTGGGAAATTCAGTTTCATCATTGAAATGAATTATTTTGTTGTCATTTTTCAATATTCACATATTAAAATTGTAAAAAATATTTTTAAAACCTCTTCCTGTAAGGCTATATTAGACAAAACAAACTAATGAAAGGGTTGTTAGCTGGGCACTGTGGCTCACACCTGTAATCCCAGCACTTTGGGAGTCTGAGGGGCACAGATCACTTGAGGCCAGGAGTTAGAGACCAGCCTGGTCAACGTGGGAACTTCTGCCTCCTGGCTCAAGTGATTCTTGTGCTTTAGCCTCCCAAGTAGCTGGGAGTACAATCATGCACTACCACGCCTGGCTAATTTTTGTGTTTTTTAGTAGAGATGGTCTCGCCATGTTGGCCAGGCTGGTCTTGAACTCTTGACCTCAACTGATCCACCCACCTCAGCCTCCCAAAGTCCTGGAATTACAGGCATGAGCCACTGCGCCCAACCTGTTTCAATTGTTTTAACATTTGTGTGCTGTCATTAGATTAAAAATGGCTTTTGTTTTTGTTTTTGAGATTAAGTTTTGCTCTTGTTGCCCAGGCTGCAGTGCAGTGGCATGACCTCGGCTCACTGCAACCTCTACCTCCTGGGTTCAAGCAATTCTCCCGCCTCAGCCTCCTGAATAGCTGGGATTATAGGCGCCCACCACACCCGGCTAATTTTTTGTATTTTTAGTAGAGACAAGCTTTCACCATGTTGGCCAGGCTGGTCTTGGACTCCTGACCTCAGGTGATCTGTCCACCTCGGCATCCCAAAGTGCTGGGATTAAAGGCATGAGCCACTGCACCTGGCATAAAAATGGGATTTGAACAACAATCTGATGAAAGAAGGCATTTTCAGTTGAGAGCTTGGAGAGGAAGGGGCAGATTTATCTGTGTGAATGGCAGGTTAGTGTGTTGGTCTCATGTCTGGGGGTATCAAGTAGAGATTGTGAATGACTTTGGTTACAATCATGACACATAGAAAAAAAGCTCAAACCCATGGGGGACCACAAGCCCCATTCACTCTAACAGGATCCAGGGCTATTTTACTGTCAGAGTGATGTTGAAGGTCCTAGTCAAATGAACAAAAAACCAGATTTGGACAGAAAAGACAGGTAAGCCTGAGTTGTTTGAAGATGATACTCATCACAACAGTGACTGTGATGGTGGAAGAAACAGGCAGGGGCTGTCTTTTTTCCAGACTCATCCTTTATGCACTCCCTACCTATCTGGCGCCCGGAGTTTAGAAATGCAAAGGAAAGGCTGGGTGCGGTACCTCACACCTGTAATCCCAACGTTTTGGGAGGCTGAGGCAGGAGGACTGCTTGAGTCCCAGAGTTTGAGATCTGCCTGACAACATGGTGAGATCCCGTCTCTACAAAATATTAAGAAATTAACCAGGCATGATGGTGCACACCTGTAGTCCCAGCTACTCAGGAGGCTGAGGTGGGAGGATCACTTGAGCCTGCAAAGTTGAGGCTGCAGTGAACTGTGATCACACCACTGCACTCCAGCCTTGGCAACAGAGTGAGACCCTGCCTCAAAAAAAAAAAAAAAAAAAAAAAGCAAAAGAACACAGTTGACCACATTGGCTGTGTCTGCTTTTCATTGCTACCACAGGCTGAAATAAAACCTCAAGTTGGGCCCCAACTTCAGGGGACAAAGTAAAGCATGATTTGAGGGAAAGTGTAGGTGGTTCACGGGACAGGTGTGCTGAGAATCAAGGCCAGAGAGAGAAATGGGAGGAGCCACAGAGCTGAGGTGTAATTGGAGTGGAGACAAGGAATCCTCATTCACTTATCTCATCCTGAAGTTTCTTCCTGAATGGAGCAAGTGGGGGTTGGGATACGAGGTCATAACTTTCATCATTTCCTGATGGGAAGACATTTGCCTCTGAAGCCAAAGTTCTCACAACCCCCAAATGGGTTTGGAGACAACTCTCTAAGGCCTAAGTCAGAAACGATATTTCTGCCGTTGGAAGACACCTCAACAGAGCACTGAGTGGTCCCCAGCACATTGAACTAGCAAGTAAGCCTTCTTGACAGATACTGCTTCAGCCCCTGGAGCTACCATTCTAACTGCCAAGATCAACAGTAAGAAAACAATGTAAGAAATTGGTAAACTTAACTGTAAATGAAACAGTAGTTTGGGTGGGCTCGGCAGCTCACGCCTGTAATTCCAGCACTTTGGGAGGCCAAGGCAGGGGGATCACTTGAGGCCAGGAGTTTGAGACCAATCTGGCCAACATGGTGAAACCCTGTCTCTACTAAAAGTAGAAAAATTAGCCAGGCATGGGGGCCAGTGCCTGTTATCCCAGCTATTGAGGAGACTGAGGCAGGAGAATCGCTTGAACCTGGGAGGTGAAGGTTGCAGTGAGCCGAGATCACGCCACTGCACTCCATCTTGGGTAACAGAGTGAGACTCGGTCTCAAAAAACAAAAAACGGTAGTTTGATTATTGTTGCTGGGGGGCAGGTGTGAAAAATGAATCTGAACTGAAACCAGAGTGCACAAAGCCTTGCACTGCTGAGCATGAGGATAAGGTGGCCAACTGAAGCCCATCAGCCACGGATTCAGAGCCAGCAGAAATCACTTCACAGGGGTAGGAGTAGGGTCACTCTGGTCTTAAGATCTCAATTCAGCTTGCCCACTGAGGCATTCAGGGCTAGACTGCAGGTCTGGGAGGGTTTAGCCTTTGGGTCTGATATCACAGTCCCAGGTGATTATAGCCTTTGATTCTCTTTCTTTCCTGCTAATATGTTGACTTACATCTCATGCTTTTCAAATGTCAAGCCACCCTTGCAAGCCACCAGGTGGGTCCTGGGATACGTCCCACCTGGTTGTGGTGACAGCCTGCATTACTGAGTGCTGACCATACTGATCTTATGTGTGCTGTCACAAACCTAAGGAGGTAGGTGCGACATTTAAGCCCCATTTTGAAGATAAGGAAAGTGAACTCTAGAGGGGATTTACTGCCCATGGCCACAGAT